TAAGTGGAAGTCCAGCGACATAGCCATTATGCTAATTACTGGTCCCTTGACTCACAATTTTAGTGATTGGAAAGTGCAAAGATGTAGGGCTGACATCAGGCTGTCCTACAATATGACCAAACAGAAGCAGAGAGATTGGCAGGCAGAGAGAAAGAGGGAACTGCCAACAACCCCTCCTTATGAGAATTAACCCCTTCTCACAAGATCTAGAACTTGGGACCAGCAGTTGGTGTAATGGCTATGTCGCTGGACTCCCATGTAGTCGACCGCAGTTTGAGTACCGGATACGGTGGCTTAAAATCACGCCAGGCGCGTGTGTGTGCGTGCCCAAGATCCTGAGAGGAGAATGGAGTAGGGATTGTGGCATGGTCACCCCCCCTTGAGGGGTGATTTCTCGCTTTCTGTCTCTCTACTCTCTCTTCTTGTGAGCGCAAATGCCCTACACCTAAAACTTCTCTCTCCAAAAAAAATAATAAATAACTCAATCAACTTCTCATGAGACTACGTTAATCCATTCAGCATTAATCAATTCACGAGGCCCATGTTTCCATGATCCAATTGTCACCCATTAGGACCAAATTTCAAAACATGAACTTTGGCAGGAGGCTGAGGGGGTGACAGCGTCAGGGATGGGGGGAAACTATTATCTGAAGAACAGTGAATACCCTCCTAATTGCTCTCCACCAGGGTCTCCAATTGTTCCCCAATGCCCATAAACATTGTTCCAAATAAACTAGTTCCTTCAGGCAGAAATATGGGGGCTCTACATTTTGCCGGCCTGCCTCTCCTCCTGGTTAGAACCTCTGTCCCACTCTGTAGGTACCGAGGATGGGGAGAACAGCTGCTATCTGGGGAGACTCCTTTCCTCTACGAGTTGGCTTTCTTGGTTTGTCCCTCCTGGTGAGGGATCTCTGCCCTATGTGTGAGCCGGGGATGACACTTTTGAGGTCTGCTATGTTTGGAGTCCAGCTTCTTCCCTACAAGTGTGGACTGCATCATGGGAAAGACCCCTGATCCTGTGAGCTGTACCTGCCTGGAATAGAGCTACCACAGGGAGAATGGGTGGATGAGAAACACTAGCCGCCTATTTCTCCTGGGTGGAAACCATAATACTGTACTGGAAGTGGGGGTGGGGAGTAGGACAGGGAGCCTCGATTTTCTTGGTGGTACAGCAGAGTAGAACTTCCATAAAATGGCAGATGGGGATGGGAGAAGGGTCATGCCGCAATCCCTTCTCTCCTCCATTCTCCTCTTGGGATCTTGAGTAGGCATGCACACGTGCCCGGCGTGAGTTTAAGCCACAGGGTCCAGGAATTGACCCGTGGTCGACTACATGGGAGTCCAGCAACATAGCCATTACGCCAACTGCTAGTTCCCCATTTGTTATTATTATTTTTTAATTAGACAAGAGGGACGGAGAGAGAGAGAGAGAGAAAGAGAAAAAGGGAAAGCGAGAAAGAAAGGGTCATCCAGGACTTGAACCATGGTCAGTCATGTGGGAATCCAGCACCTTTTTTTAAAATTTAATTGTATTTATTCATTTGTGTGTGTTTTAATTTGACCAGAGAGAGAGAGAGAGAGAGAAAGTGAAAAAGCAAGCCACCAGGTCTGGGACTTGAACCATGGTTGGCCATGTGGGAGTGTCCAGCACCTTAACCACCATGCCACCTGTTGGTCCCTGCAATCCAACACCTTTAACCACCATGCTACCTGCGGGCGCATGTGTGCTTTCTTTTATTTAGTTATTTGAAGTTTGGACCTTTTTTATTCCCAAGTTTTACTGAGGCTATGGCCTTGGCATAGTTTTGTTTTCCTCTTCTTGTTGTTTTGATTTATTTGGGAAGGAAACATTGGACCACGGAGACTTAGGCAGCCTCTATTGTCAGCTACCCAGGGACAGGAGTTGGGAGGAGGGAGTGACTATAAAGGGATAGCAAGAGGGAGTTTCTTTGAGGTGATGGAACGGTCTGTTGGGTTGTTGGAAAAGTCATGATGCACTTTTGCATAGAAAGACAGAGAAATACGTCATGACTTTACCAACAGCCCAATACATTCTGATTGAGGCGGTGCTTGCACAAACCTATACATGTAAAAATGTATAGAACTAGATACCAAAAACCAAAACAAAATCGATGAAATCTGGCCCAGCCATCATGGCTGGGTAACATGGCCTTGTGAAGGTGGAAGCCCTATGGCCACTGGGAACTGAGAACTCCAAGTCAGCCTGAAAACACACTGTGTGTGCATGTGGGCACCCAGGAACCTGAGGAGCTGGAGAGCTGGGGGGGGGGGGTCGCAGATGATAAAACCCTGATGAGGGTGTTTCTTTCACTTTCTCATATGAGCATGCTCTCTATCATCGAAAACACACACACACAACAAGCAAACAAGTGAACAAAAACAACGGATGAAATCTAAATAGGTCTGTAGTTCAGCTGTACCACTGTCAGCTTCCTGGTTCTCATTGTACTATGGTTATGAAAGTTCTTCACAGTGGGGAAAGGGGACATGAACAATTTCTGTACTTTTTTATTTTTGGAAATAATTTTTTTTAGATCTTTTTTTAATGCAGTCGAATTTCCCACATTTGGGGAAGCCGCAGGGGTCAGCACATCCGGAGTGCAATGGATAAGCCTCGCCCTGGGGAAACCACCTTCGTGATCATGGTACCTTCCTGCCAGGTAAGTATGAAGTCTTTTTTTGAGAGATTTATGCTATAGGGCGCGTGCATTTGCTGGAGAGACAGATTCAGAAAGCAATAAATCACTCCCTGGGGGGATGGCCACCCCACAATCCCTTCTTCTCTAGCCTCCTCTCAGGATATTGGGCATGCATGCACACATGCCCGGTGTGAGTTTTAAGCCACCAAGTCCAGGACTGGAACTGCAGTCGACTATGTGGGAGTCCAACAACATCACCATTATGTCCTGGTCCCCAAAATAATTTTTTTTTGAGAGGTTTTTTGCTATAGGGTGCGTGTGCTCGCCAGACAGACAGAGAGAGACATAGAGACAGAAAGCGAGAAATCACCCCCCAGGGGGGGATAGTCACGCTGCAATCCCTCCTCCTCCATTCTCCTCTTGGGATCTTGGGCACGCACGCACACGCACCCGGTGTGAGTTTTAAGCCACCGGGTCCGGGACGCGAACTGCGGTTGACTACATGGGAGTCTGGCGACATAGCCATTACGCTATCTGCTGGTTCCCCCCGAAATAATTTTTTAAAAAGTTTATTTCCATAAAAGCCACAGTCACCCTCAATAAGATTCCCATGCCATGATCCACCCCCAGTCTCAGCTGGCCTGGGTCATGGGCAGGGCTGTGGGCACGTGCATGTGTGCCTTGTGTGCTCAGGGAAGTCCCAGGACACCAACCCAAGACCTTTATCATCTGTGTCCTGTTATGCTATGGCTGCCCCAGCACCACCTGGCCCCATTTTCCTAAACTTTTAAAACAACATCTGTGGGACCAGCAGGTGGTGTGGTGGTTAAGGCACTGGACCCTTCCACATGGCCGACCAGGGTTCGAGTCCTGAATCTGATGGCTTGCTTTCTCACTTCCTCTCTCACTCTCACCCTCTGTCTCTCTCTGGTCAAAAAATAAATAAAAATAAAATAAAAAATAAATGAATGAATAAATACAAAATAAAATAAATAATTATTTTTTTAAAAAAAAACATCTGTTAGTCTACGTGTTTGCAAGATTTAAAAAATTTTTTTTCAAGGGCTAGCCTGTGGCATGGTGGTTAAGGTGACTGGATACCAAATGGCTAACTGTGGTTTGAGTCTTGGACCTGGCAGCTTAGAAAACATGCAAAATGCATTTGCATATGTGCCTAAAATTCTGAGAGGTGAATGGAGAAGGGATTGCAGTGAGCTATCCCACCCAGGGAGTGCTTTCACACTTTCCCTCTCCTTCTCCAGCATACATGTGCACCTGTAGCAACAACAACAAAAAGAAATAAAAAAATATTTTCCCCAGTGTGGAGTGTGAAAGATCTCCGACACAGGGGCCAGCAGGTGGTAGACTCCCACATGGACAACTAGGGTTTGAGTCCTGGATCCAGAGGCTCAAAAATCATGCTGGATGCATATGTTGTGTCCAAAATCCCAGGATGAGAAAGGAAGAAAAGGAATTTCAGTGTGGCCATCCCCCTGGGAAATGATTTCTCACATTCTGTCTCACTATCTCTCTTTCTCCAGTGAGAACACAACGCTCTATGGCAAAAACCTCAAATTAGGGACCAGCAGGTGGCGTGGTGGTTAAGGTGCTGGACACTCCCACATGGCTGACCACGATTTGAGTCCCGGAACTGATGGCTTGCTTTCTCAATTTCCACTTTCCTTCTCTTTCTCTGTGTGTGTCTCTCTTTGGTCAAATTAAAGTAAATGTATGAATAAATAAAATGAAATAAATAATTCTTAAAAACAAAACAAAACTCTCGAATAAAAATAAATAAATAAAACAAAGAAAGATTTCTAAGGGAGAGGAAAGGGCCTGAAAACGGGGCCGATCTGGGGGATTCCTCCAGTGTTACTGAACACCTTCTCGGTACAGTGCTTTGCTCAGAATAGCCTCAGACCAGACAGACAGGCCCAGCCTATGCTCTGATGTGGGCCAGGGCCAGTCAGACTGAAACTTGGCTTTCCACGTACTAGCTGTGTGGCTGATAATAGGTTATTTAACCTCTCTGAAGACAACCCAAACTGTTTTTGTTTTTATTTGTAAAATAAGGCTGCTAAAAGCACCTACTTTACGGGGTTGCGTGAGGAACACATGTTGATTGAAGTCTTGCCTCTTCAGGAAACACCACTAGGTATTCTGGGAATGGCTGTGCAGGCTGCTGGGCTCACAGCTTCATTTCTGGGAGAGGCTGACAACAAATTCAGAAATCACGTGCACGTGCACGTGCAAGGGCACACACACCATCCCTACACACACACACACACACAGGCTAACTCGGAGACAAGAACAGGGAAGGCCTTCCTGGCCTTAGAGAGCATGGGAGGTGAGCTGGGGGGAAACCCAGAGAGACCAGAGATCAGAAACCAAAGACCAAAGACACCGACAGACCCAGGGAGACCAAAAGACCCAGATAGCATCCTGGAACTCAGAGAGGCCAAGGATCCAGACCTCTAGAGAGACCCAAAGAGACCAGGGAGACCCAGAGAGGTCAAGAGAATCAGGGATAACCACAGACCCAGAGACTTTGAGGACTCCAAAGGCCTAGAAACCCTACCCCAGCATGGCACAATCAGGCCATAAGGTAAAACTTGGGCTGAAACTGCCCGTCAGTTACTGGCCGCCCAGGTCTCATTTTCCAGCTCAGCCCCTTGGCACGGCATTTGTAAAGAGGAAGAGAGAGCTCTAGCTCCCTCCATGTCCTGTGGAACTTCAGGCACCGGCGTCCACCTGTCTGATAGGTGATAAAGCTTTGGGAATGTTTTTCAGCAGGGCAGCCTCAGCTCAGAAGGTGGCAGGGTTCTCAGGTAGAGGTAGGTGGAGAGGCCTAAGCCCCACCCCCAAACTAGGAAGGGCCTGATTGGTGGAAGGGCAGAGCAGGGCGGGGCAGGGCGCGGCGAGGGGCGGGGGGGCAAGCCTTAGCGCTATATAAACCCTCGCCAGCTGGCTGGGAGTTATGCTGTAGGTGATTCCCAGGCTCAGGTAAGTCTGTTAGCGGGGAGGCGAAGGCTGGGCTTACTTCTGGAAGCCTGGATGAGAGGTTCTCAGGTTGATCTCAGGTTGACTGTGGGTGGTGGAAGACATCTCGTGAACTCCTTGGTTGGTGTCTCTCTGGGGATAAGGGAGGTTGTAGGAAAATAGCTTGAACTGTTTGAGGTGGCCCCACCTAACTTGCACTAAATCCGAGCATTTATTTAATATCATTTCTCCTCCTCAGTTTCCCTTCGGTGTCAAGGGTGGGTGGCCCTTTCAACTCTGCCCTCGTGCTGGGGTCAAGGGGAGGCTGTAAATTGGAGGGCTAGAGGTGCAATTAAGCTCTGGAGGGCTCCACTTGTAACTGGTTGTGAGGCCTTGTAACTGGTTGTGAGGCCGCAATTCAGTTTGCTGGTTTGCAAAATGGGTCTTCTGTTACACCCGCTTACCTGAGGGAATAGATAGGGCCCTTAAAGCATCCAGCACAGCTCCAGGCACTTAGGAAGCCCTCAGTGGTGCTCCTGCTGCTGTTTTACTCGCTGGCCTGACCTGGGGTGCCAGGAGGAGGAGGGGCACAGTTTCCAGCAACTCTTTGCTTCCTTTCTGGCCTCCCCACCCCCTGTGCATCTCAACTGCCTTCTGTTCTGAACCCCCAAGTCTCCACACCCATCCCTCCATCTTCCTAATCCTCCCGGGGTCAGTCTCATCATCCCCCTTGACTCCTACGTGTTGAGGGAGTTGGTGCTAAATCCTGAGGCTGTTTTCTCTACAGGTCACCCTGCCCCGCCCCACCCTCCACGAGATGAACCAGGCTCCAGACGCCACCACTGTCCCTGTGGTTAACACCCAGGCCAAACTGGGGGGCCTTAGCCATCAAGGTGGGGGCAATGGATTTCTTCATACCAGCCAGTACCAGGCCTTTCTCAGCCTTCTGGGTGAGTTTATGTGGGGGCTGGCATAGGAGGGGATGTAGGGCCAAGTGTGAAAATAGAATCGAAAAGTGGGGTCCAGCATGGGCAGGGACTCTGCGGCCTCGGTGCCTCTCCCTCTCAGGTGACCTAGGTTTGGCAGATGGGGAGGAGGGACAGGAAGGGGAGGAGGGTAGTGGGGGAGGTGTGGCCATGCCAGAACACGGATTCATTGATGACTTGGGCTTTGGAACTCTCGATGGCCACTCTTGTCTATGGGGGCAATAATAACCTGGGTCTCCTGTTTTTCTTTTCTACCCTTAGAGGACAGTTTTTTCCAGGAATTCCTCTCCAAAGACCCTTGCTTCCAGATATCTGATAAGGTGAGGGAGCTTGGTGTATCGGTTGGGGGTCACTTGAAAGTGTGGTTGAATTAGTGAGAATCGAGTGCTCCTACTTTGCTGGATCCCCTGGTCTGATGTGGGTAGCAATTCACTTTTTACCCTTAAACCCTCGTAGGCTAGACCCCATCGTGTACCTAGTCTTTCCCTCCTTGCCCCAGAACGTTTTTGTGCAAAGGAACCTGTCTGCTCGCCCCTTTTACAGAGGCGAAGGCTAACCAACTCCCTGTCTCTGCAGTATCTCCTAGCCATGGTGCTGGTCTACTTCCGGCGCGCCAACCTGAAGCTCAGCGAGTACACCCGCAGCAGCCTGTTCTTAGCATTGTGAGTGGCAGGGGTGGGCGTGGTGGGGCAGAGCTCCTGGTGGACAGAGGGAGGAGGGCCGGAGCCTCTGCTTCCTAACCATGTGCCCTGTGGCTAGGTACCTTGCAAATGACATGGAAGAGGACGTGGAGGATTTCAAGTGTGAGATTTTCCCATGGGCCCTTGGGGAAGATTGGTCTTCCCGGGTGAGGAAGTTCCTGCACCAGAGAGATAAGCTGTGGGCACGGATGGGCTTCCGAGCTGCGGTGAGCCGTCAGTGCTGTGAGGAGGTGAGTCTGGGCTGGCACCTCGGGTAGGACAGGGCTGGGCCTCCCATTCCTACTCACTGTCCACACTACTCCTCCCAGGTCATGGCAAAGGAGCCGTCCCACTGGGCTTGGACTCGGGAGCGGCATCCCCACCATGGAGGTGTTCGGAGGAGCTACCCACAGGCCCTAGTCTGCCTCCCCCGGGGCCCAGGACACTCACCTCCGCAGTGTTCCATCTGTGACTCACGTGGACCCCACAACCTGCGCTCCAGGCCCGTGTTACCCAAAAGCCCTTCTCCGACTTCTGAGTGTCATCGTCCTCGCTCCAAAAATTGCCTGTCAATGGTCAAAAACCTCTGGAATAGGAACCTACTTGTCTTGCCCCCCAGGCTACTGCTGCAGCCAGGTACCTACACCCTCCACATCTTGAAAAAGCCTCCGCCTCGCTCCAGATGCAGACCTCCACAGAGCGAAGAGCTGCCCACCAGCTGTCCTGCTGCCCAAGGCTCTGCTCACTGTGCCTCTTGCCATGTGGCCTCAAGCTGGCAGCATTGCCCATGTCTGGCCCCTTCCTCCCGACGTGCAACCTGTCCCCACGCTGACTAGAGCCCCCTCTAATAAATTCACGTCCATAGGACACCAACTGTGCTTAGGTCCTGGGCTGGCTCCTTGATTCAGGGTGGGGGTGGGAGGGGATTGAGAAGAGGTCTGTAGGGATAAGACCTGTGAGCACAGCTCTGTTAACAGCTCTGCCCCTTCCCGTGAGAGGCTGATTGTGATAGATAGCAGAGAATGTTTGCTGCTAGTACCTCTGGATAATGAGATCTACAGTACAGATGGGATTAAATGGGGTGAATTTATATGCTGCAACCTTCAGAAAAAGGAGGCCTGGAACCTATTGACAAGCACAAATAGGGACCAGCAGTTAGCATAATGGCTATGTTGCTGGACTCCCATGTAGTTGACTGAGGCTTGGTGGCTTAAACTCACGCCGGGCGCATGTGTGTGTGTTCCCAAGATCCCAGGAGGAGAATGGAGGAGAAGGGATTGCAGCATGGCCATCCCCACTGAGGGGTGATTTCTCACTTTCTGTCTCTGTCTCTCTTTGTCTTTCTGGTGAATGCATACACCCTATAGCAAAAACCTCTGAAAAAAAAAAGCACAAATGAAAAAGCAGCTCTGTATTCAGGCGAGTAATGCCTTTGGCACCAAGACTTGGTTTCTTGCTGAGCTGCAAACAAAGATAATGTGGTAATTACCTATACAGCCCCCTCCCCCTCACACACAAAGACATAATGAGAGCTCAAAAGAGCCAAGTTTTTATTAATGGAGAAGGGAAGTCTTACTAGAGAAGGCAGCATTTGAATTGGGCTTGGATATTCCTGAGAAGACAGTTTACAGTGGTGACTAAGACTTGGTCTTGGTGCTAGCAGTTGGCATGATGGTTAATGGCACTGGACTCCCACATAGCCGACTGTGGTTCAAGTCCTGGACCTGGCAGCTTGCCTTCTCACTTTTTCTCTCACACTCTGTCTCTCTGTGGTCAAATTAAATAAATAAATGAATGAATAAAGTTCGATAAAATAATTTTTAAAAAATCTCTAAAAAAATTATTTTTCCCAAATAGGTAGTATTTACATGTATATTTAAACCAAGTGTCACTCTCCTACTTTTGACTCCTAGCAACCTAGTCCCTGTCCAGGAAGCATTAATAATTAAAGTTTATTATGTCCTTCCAGAGAAAAACATCAAATGTCTATAATAAAAAATACATATATTTGATCTTTCTCCCTACCCACTTCACACAAAGCTCCTAAAACCCTTGGGTTTTCTAATAGAGGAATGTCTTGTTCATAGCAAGGCCTCGGGTTATTCATAATAAGGCCACACCTAAGTTTATGCTAATGAGAGGACAAGGTGGGGCACCTAGATGCTTTGGATTAGGGGCTTGCCTTCAGAGAAGGAGGAGGACCAAAGACTAGATTATAAACACTTGGGTTTTTTTTAAAAGATTTTTGCCATAGGGCATGGGTGCTAGCCTGAGAGACAGAAAGCGAGAAATCATCCCTCAGGGAGGATGGCCACATTCTAATCCCTTCTTTTCCAGTCTGCTCTTGGGATTTGGGGTACACACGCACGTGCGCCCAGTGTGTTTTTAAGCTGCCACATCTGGGACTCGAACCGTGGTTGACTATGTGGGAGTCCAGTGATGTAACCATTATGCATCTGCTGGTCCCAACACTTTTGAACATATAGATGTGTCAGGAGGGTGAGAGAGGGCATGGACCTTTGTGCATCCCATCCCATCCCTACTCTACTCTGCCCTCTGCGTCTCTTCCGCCTGCTGTTCCGAGTTGTTCCTTTATAATAACCAGTAATAGCAAGTAAAGCACTTTGCTGAGTTTGGAGTCTGAGGGGGTGGGTTGTAGGAATCCATGAATTTCTATTTGGCTTGACAGAAGTGTGGGTCCCCTGGGCACCCCATTTATGGCTGGTGTCTGAAGTGGGGGCAGCCTTGTAGGAGCTCTTAACATGTGGTGTCCACCGATTCAGAACATTAATGTCAGGACAGAATTGAATTGCTGAACATTCAACTGGTGTTAGACAATTAGTGTGGAACATGCATCTTTGTTAAGAGAATTATTCTATTTAACTTTATTTATTTATTTTAATTTGACCAGCAAGGGACAGAGTGAGTGGGAGAGAGAGAGAGAAAGTGAGAAAGCAAGCTGACAAGTCCAGGACTTGAACCACGGTAGGCCAGGTGGGAGTCCAGTGCCCTTAATCACCACACCACCTGCTGGCCCCAGAAAATGTTTTTAAAAAACTTTCTTGGGACCAGCAGTTAGCGTAATGGCTGTGTTTCTGGACTCCCATGTAGTAGACTGTGGCTCACGTCCCGGACCTGGTGGCTTAAAGATCACACTGGGCACGTGTGCATGCATGCCCAAGATCCCGAGAGGAGAATGGAGGAGAAGGGATTGCAGCATGGCCATCCCCCCTGGGGAGTGATTTCTGGCTTTCTGTCTCTCTGTCTCTCTCTGTCTGTCTGGCGAGCGCATGCGCCCTATAGCAAAAACCTCTCAAAAAAAAAAAAAATTT